GGCTATGCGTTCTTTACAGACTTAAATCTGATCGTTGACTCGCAAAACTGCGCATGTCCAAATTTATTGATTATTTAGTTACAGACAAAGATATATTATACAGGGTTGGTAGAAAAATATTGTTGAATGTTTGCTGTATTTATAAACTAGAGTCTACGTCCCAACCGCAACTTGGGTGCCCACAGTTTTGCCAAATGCCAATACGTCAATTTGTAAATTAAATTTGTTTGGTTATGTTTTGTTAAACTTAGTATTTGTACATCCTTCATGTGATAAAAGTGAAATACGAGAAATTCAATATGGAATTTGTTTGTGATGAATGCAAACATACTTTCAAGCTGAACGTGAGGAAATCTTCTTCCCGGCCAACTGACACAGATCAAAGAATAGGCATTCTTGCTTCTCAGCTTAATATCGCTATTGATACCAAATAAACCTAAGTACCTATTGATTTTTTTAATAGACACAACAATTAATTAAAATGCATATTTTTCTGAAATATGTTCACAAATATTGGTAAAAGTATCTTTTGTATTGCCACCATATATTTCGTACCACATGAAATGGTCTATAACCGATTGTACAATCTATATTTCTATGATACAATCAGAAACAACACAGCCGAAGTAAATAACAAATTGACGTATTGGCATTTGGCAATACCGCGGGCACCCGAGTTGCGGTTGGGACGTAGACAAAACTTATTTACACCATTTCCGAGTTATGAAAAAGGATTGTTTAATATAACGTTACATTTAGTCATTCAACGTGTGATTATAAAAGAATGGTCCGATAAGACGGTTGTCTAAACAGTAAAATGAAAAGTAAAGTTGACTTAATATCTACTATGGAAAGTGAAATTACGTAATTACTTACGATACATACGACACCACATATTAAAGCCAAATTGGGTTTGCAGTCTTCGTTGAGTCAATTGGTGAGGATTTTCTGAAGTCCAAAAATGATGGTTGTATCGATTAAGCATTCCGCAGTTGGTAAAATGTGTTTCGTCGGTCCAAATTACAAGACGACTGAAACCAGGATTTTGTTCGCATTGGTTCATATACCAGTTTGAAAATTGGATCCTTTTTGCATAATCCGTTTCTCGCAAATCTTGAACAATAGTTGGCTGGTACGGTCGATATTTACATTTTTTTAGAACTCTTTGTAATGGTACTTCTCGAGGTTGGTAAGTCTTTTCTACTTTGTCTACTGTTGTCTTTCAGGGTAATTTTTAGAATATCTTTCCAATGCATATTAAATTTTTCTTCGTGAGAAAAACGCAATGCCATTTTTTTAAACGTTATTATTAATAATAATGAAAACTATTAAGCAAGCTTCGAACGATGAGCGATAATATAAATATATATTATAGCTCACATATTATAAAAATATCGCTTCGCATTAAAAAGTGCAAGTCGCCGCGCATTGATGCTATAATATATTTCTATATCTCGGCGATGCCGGCGATATATTTGATGTTGGACGAAATATGCTTTCCGAGCGATTTTTAGGATATATATTTCCCCCTCTTATATCGCACTGCCAGCCAAGAAAGCAAACCGGCGTTGTTTACATGTTTGTTTTGAACGTGATTTTATAAATAGATTTTGTAGGTTTGTAAAATTAGTTGCTGTTTCTTTAAAGAGTATGGAATATTTCATAGAAAGTGTGAGAAAATATCCTTGTCTATGGAAAGTGGATACCAATGAATACAAAAACAATGAACTGAAGGAAGCCTGGAGAAACATCATATAGTTGAATACGATGTTGCAGACGGTATGTTTTGTTGCCATTTATTTTTATTTAGGCACGTCATTTTTTAAATACCCCTACGTTTTTAAATATAAAGCCTATACACTATAGCCATTTGATGAAACGTCGTCCAAATTGTAGAGAAGTATTATTATTATCTATTATGTTATTGCCCCGGCTTTTCAACAAAATTGTTGGTGACTAGATAGAGTTAAGGATTTAACCGGTCAATTTTTTTTTTCTGTCAATTGTGTAATGTTTCACTGTATAACTCTATGGTTAGGTACTTACTACAGTAAACTAAGATATAAATATGCGTGGTGAACAAAGACGCTTGAAGTTTACAGTTGAAAGTTAAGTTTTATTCTCCTACATATATCTCATTTTATTATATTGGAAATAGTCTATTTTGTACACGCATCCTTTGCCAAGGAACGGTTCCAATATGGTTAAAGTATCTACAAAATTCTTCCCTTACCAAAAAACTTTCGTCGGAGTATCTACATCCAGAATGAGCCAATGGTGTCAGTTGACTATCGTCCACAGCTTCTATTTCATCTTCATTTATGGTATAAAAATTATAAAGTAACTGCCAGTCGCTATAAGGAACTAATGCTTTCTAGCATATTTGTGTTTTGCTTTTCCATATAATTTTTTATTAAATCAGTTCATAAAATTTAGTTCTGTCCATTCGAAAATAATTTGTAAATTTTTCGTCACTTAATTCGTTAAAAAGTTAATTGATAATAATAATACATTGTCGCTTTCAGCATCTGATTTATCTTCTGATGAGCTATTAATGATATGGCAATAACAAATTTTTCGCCATCGCCATTTTTGCAACTACATTATATAGTTCACTGGATCAGTGTACTATATTGAAAAATAAAAAATTATATATATTCTCGTCCACTGCAGTAATAATATAATATTATAGCTCTTTGCCGAGCTATAATATATATTATATTATCGCTCATCGTCCGTAGCCGACTTAACTTTTACTCGTTTTGACAAATACTCTTTTTTTCCACTACATGCATCGACTAGATTTTTTTATTCATAGATTTATCGTAGAATTCCATAAATAATAGTAATTAAATAGCAAATTATTAAAAAATTACGCCATTGTGCTCGCCATTGTGGCTAATAGTACCGTTCAGATATTTAAAATTAATATTTTTAAGGTGTATTCAATATCCCATGGACATCCACTAAATATATCAAAGCCTAGGCGCGAACGCAAACCATGGTGGATATCCACTAGATGTCATTTTTGATTTTCTTACTACTACCACTTTCGCTCGTTGAATATCTACTCACGCTCAACCCGCCGTAATTGAGTTCGATCGAAATTGGTATCGCAATCAGACTCCATTAGAGACTGAAGTCGAGAATGTGTTGAAAATATTTTGACTGTTGAAAATATTTTTTATCTCTACTATTTTCTTTCGACGTTATTCAATATTCATTGGTTACTTATGAACCTCTACTAAAGATACCCATAAAATATTTTGCTGAATATCCGAATATCTTCTATGTCCTGGGATATAGACGGACATTTGGATATCCATATTAGATCCAAGGGATATTTCTGATATCCTGTGGAAAAGATATTCTGTGGATTTCTCTACTAGCGTCTATTTCTTGTGCTCTACAAATAAACCTGCTTCTGTGGCGCCATCTAGTGAAGTAATAAGGTGAAGTGATAATGACAGCTGTTCAGTTCGTTCGTGCTTGTCAATTGTGTAATGTTTCACTGTATAACTCTATGGTTAGGTACTTACTACAGTAAACTAAGATATAAATGTGCGTGGTGAACAAAGACGCTTGAAGTTTACAGTTGAAAGTTAATTTTTATTCTCCTACATATATCTCATTTTATTATATTGGAAATAGTCTATTTTGTACACGCATCCTTTGCCAAGGAACGGTTCCAATATGGTTAAAGTATCTACAAAATTCTTCCCTTACCAAAAAACTTTCGTCGGAGTATCTACATCCAGAATGAGCCAATGGTGTCAGTTGACTATCATCCACAGCTTCTATTTCATCTTCATTTATGGTATAAAAATTATAAAGTAACTGCCAGTCGCTGTAAGGAACTAATGCTTTCTAGCAGAACCAAATTTGGAAAATATAATTGCAACGTTGCCGCATTGTGATAAAATTAGTAGTTAATGGAAAATTGTGATTGCCCATACTGGTCCATAAATATGCAACAAGAAAACGAAGCAACGTAGGGTGGCGGCTTCACCGCTACCAAAAAACATCAACTCATACCTGGCTACGCCGACCGGTATAGACTCCAACGGCCTGGACACAGCTCAAATTGAATAATTGAAATGAAAAGTCTCAAATAAACACATTTATATTCTGGTTTTATCATCTGGCCTGGAGCTATTGAAAAAACAGCCACTTTCATTCCTGTTATGTACGTTCTTTTACTATGTTTGACAACTCCGCATTTATAGAAATAAAAATATCAGTTGTCATATTTTTCATAAATAATAATGTAGAACGGTATTACCATGAATATATTTATTTAGTACAAATAACAAAAAGCAATTGGCAACATCGCTAAAATTATTGAAACGGCCACTTTTGCGCGCGCTAAATCATTTGAAGGTCAATGCTGGGTTCATTTGTAGAGCTCAAGAAATAGACGCTAATGTTGTCTGGGTATTAAGTTTAGAGTATTCTAGTGCTGTTGTTAAATTTGAGGTGTTGCTAAAATTAGTTTTCTTGATTTTTTAAGCCAATTTCATTTATTTATAAGTGATACATTGTTGTAAAACTGACTTCTACAGCTATCTTTTAAATATAAAATACAATATAGCGTCAGTAAAAAAAAATTAACCTGATGATTGTATAAAATAAATGGAACGTCGTGTTCAAAATCCAATTGCAGAACTGAATTCTACACAAAAAGCTATTTCAAAAATGTTTTTAGAAAATTCAACTTTTTGGATTTTTAAATATTTCAAAAACAAAAAAGATAGAATTGCGTACAAAACGGCTTTAAGTTGCAAATATATTCATATAATCGTTTCTCTATATTATATAGTTTTTAAGATTCCAATACTGTATAATTTTATTACATAGACTATAAATAAATATAAAAAATGTTCCGATCAAGTGTAAAAAATTCAGTTACTTCAATTTTAATACCTATCTATAAATATATAATATTGAAACCTATTCACCTGTAACTACTGAAAATTACTTATTTTGTGATCTAATTTTAGATACGATGTATTAAAACAAGGACAACAACGTTTCGACAAGGATGGACTGAACAATTTGCAATACAAACTCATCCACAAGAAATTTAATTTATTGTATACATGGATATTGGTGGAGATTAATCAACCCAGTTGATGGCGATTTTAGAATAGTTTTTTTATTAGTGAGAATTATTGTGATGTAAGAATGTTGACTTAATGATGCCGCAGCAACAAACAATCTTCTTAATAATTTTTTTTTTGTTACGTTAATAAATCTTATAATTAGTATGTATTTATTACTTTTTTGGTACTTATTTTCAAAATGGGAAATATCGGTGCGATTTAAACTTCATAAACAATTAAGCCTCACTTTTGTCTATCAATAAAAAGATGGAAATGGAAATGAAGCATCCAGAACTCGTAAACACAACTTTACAATAGAGGTAAAATAGACCACGAATTTACTTAGGGTTAGTACCAGAATGTCGCGAAGCTTTGGCCAAAGTATCCGTCAACAATGTCATCTTAGGGCTCTTTCAGACGAGGATACTGTATGCGAGATACGCGTATCCGAGATTCAGGCTGACCATACATTCAAATGGACCTATTCACTGGTACGGGCGATGCATACAGTATCGCGATACGGAATTTCTGTATCCCGTCACATTCAGCTGCGAACGCTGAATGCGTATGCCGCATACAGAATTACTATTACGATATATGGACCTTTTCAATGGTAGATAGGTATCCTGAGTGCATTTGGTTTGATAGTTTAATTTATTTGAGAAAGGATTAAATTAGATGCACGAAGATTTTTTTTTTAATTATTTCACGAATAAAAAATTAGCCTAAACTACATAATTTTTATATTCTTTACCGTCTTTTCTACGCATGTTGTATGCCCAGTCTTTTAATATTAAAGTAATGTACTCTACAGATGCAAACTCGTACATTTTTCTTGGTAAAACAACATTAATTGGTTCCAAATTGATTTATGAGTTTTGACTGTATTAATTGGAATATTATTTCATTATCTACCCTATCTATTGAAAATATCACAGGGATTACTTTTTCGTAATATACAGTGTTACACATAAAATGCACATCGTATGGAATTTTTCTTTCTAAATAATACATTTTGAATTTCCCATTTTTTGTTGCTTCAAAAATGATAACCAATAACATGCTAATGTAAAATCACGTGACTTTTGCAAATGTCAAAATTTACTTTTTTTGTAAAAAAATGCAAAAATCCTATGCCTAAAAGTTACTTTTGTATTCCCATATACCAATTTTCAACTTTTTTTTTATTTTTTCTACCAATTCATTTTAAGGTTACTAGAATTTACGCTAACCTGCATGAATTAACCTGTTTACGCGATGCGCTTCTTTTAAATGTTTTTTTGTTAAAAAATATTTTATACAACTTGCCTAAATTCCAGTAACCCAAAACTGAATTGGTAGAAAATAAAAACTTGACACGAGCTATATGGGTAAATTAAAAAATAAGCAACTTTTTGTTGAGCAATTTTTCGAAATTGCCATTTTTGCAATTTTTAGGAAAAAAATGTCATTTTATACATTCAAAAAGGTCACGTGTTTGTCCATTTGCATGCCATTCGTTATCCATTTTAAATCAATAGAAGATGGCAAAGTCAAAATGAATCTACAGCATTTACAAAGCCTATACGACGTGAATTTTATGTGTCACTGTATTATATACCTCAGTATAATGCACTCTTCTAGATCCATAATTCCAACCTGTGACTATTTTAATACTGATTGAAGAGATGCGTGAATTCGATACAGCAGTCCAAGTTTTCGAGTGCGATTTTGCATCTCGGATACGCGTATTTGGCATACAATATCTTCGTATGAAAGAGGGCTTAAGATGGATCAAAGGTCACGCCATATCAACAGGTAACCGTCTTGCCGATTCACTGGCACGAAAGCAGCCAACCAAATACTTTTTGGACCTGCTCCTTCTATTGGCCTGACAAAATCGGTAGTGACAGACCTAATTAAAGAACATTATCCTATGAAATTCAAGGAAATATGGGATGAAACAAGAAACTGCAGAGTTGTCAGGGAGCTTTTAAGTTATCTTGACAACACTACGGCAAACAAATACTAGACTGACTAGACAGAATCTGCGCTTGGTCACAGGCATTCTAACTGATCATTGCCAAGTAAGGAATCATCCATTTGTCACAATTTGCACCCTGCAAGGGGTTCGAACAAGAAGGTAGACCATCGGGCATATCCTCTATGATTGCCTGACGCTCTCATTTATTAGAAGATTTGTGTTCGGCGAGTATCGCCCTTTTTTGTAACGTTTCTCATAGACTTTTCTTGATGTATTTTTGAAACTATACTAAAATATCCCATAGATGTTTAAAGTTTAACATCATATTCATTAACATTCTTCGCATATATCTACAAATGAAGTTTTATGTATGCTGCAATACTTGAATTAGCAGTTTTGTACTTCTTTTTAGTTACTTCCTGTGACAAACATTTATACGATGTTAATTTTTATAAATCACAATAATATCGCATACAGGTCAGCACAGTAATGTGTACAAGTTACACATCTTTAAGATGGCTATCTTTAGTCTTTACATCGTAGACCTGGCACACCTAACAGTCCCGCGTTCATATATAGAGATACCAATGATCGCTTGATACTTACGTAACCGGTAGTACTGTGTATTATGGAGCAGCCTGTTGCCCAGTATTAAGTATTTCATCAAAGTTTTTACTTTTACCTTTGATATTAATTTAGACCACTGTATTATCATACTTTTTCTGTAACATTTTCTGGGATTATAAATTCGAAGTTTAACTTGTCTTCTAAGTTTAACTTCAAGTTTATTTATTTTTATTCCGTTTTATGTAGATGAAATATAAAATATTTATATAACATGGTCCATATAAAATTTAAAAAATAAAGATACAAATAAAGAGAGGTATAAACTGTATCATGTTTGGAACGTCACATTTGGTTCATTAATATGATTTTATTTTATGAACTTTTATAATAACATCTTGGTTTGTTAAAAAGACATCATTTTTGGGAACTTCGAATAACGTTGAATAACGTAACAAGGTAGCGCTGTAATATCATCGCAACGTCTACATTGTTTCATCACAAAAGTAAACGTCCCTACTCTGGGCTTAGACGGTTATGAGTCCATCTTCCAGATAAAAATGAGAGTTACAATGTGATGAAAAGTGCTCATTAATTTAACGTTGTTATGCATAGTGAGGGCCTATCATCATCAGGAGGATGCACAATGGGCCTAGTGAGACCTAAGTGCCGTGGGGTAACCCACCCTCCATATGTTACAAATACAGAATCCCCACTTTGGGCGCCATTTCGGTAACTTAATTTAGTCCTTTTAATTTAAATATACCAGAATACGGAATGGATATATGTTTTATCTTTTTCTTTTTTTGTTATTATCTTTTAAATCCCCCTTTCTTCTTTGTTGTTATGGCCGACAGTTGTCCATATAATGTTTTAAATAAAAGCGTTTGTGAAAATCTACCAAAATTGATTTTTCTCATTTAACAATATGGATTTTCATCAATTAAAAGCCGAAACAATAAAGAATCCATAATTTAACGCTGGTCACCTTCTTGTTCTAATTTTCGGCTGTATCAAGCCACGTACTCACACCTTAGTGTCTTTTTGAATTTTTAAGTTACTTCAATGAAATTGAATTTAATTAAAAAATATATTTTTCGATATTGTTGAAGAGTTGCGATTTATTTTTCATTGTATATGTTACATATGTACTACAAATAAAATTAGTTGCAACATAACAAACAAATCGAGTCTCATATTTCAACAAATAAAAGTATTTATGTTTGATTTAAACTTTGCGTAATGTGAGCTTATAATTGAGTTAATCGATACGAATGGTAGTAACAGAGATAAAAGGTTATTTCTATTAATACACCGGATCAAAATACGAGATGTACATTTCGTATACAGGGTGTTTTTTAAACATGTGGCAAAAATTCAAGGGGTTGTTCCTTGGACTATTCTAAGAATATTTTGTCCTTTGATGATTTTGAAAATCCGTTTTGTTAAGGAGGTACAGGACGAACAAAATTTTAGACAATAACATCATTTTATTACCAAAAAATACATGTAAATATTACTTAATCTACAAGAACTGTTGAAAATGACTACCTCCAGCAAGAATGCAAGCATTCAATCTTCTCATCATTGACTCTTTCAAAAACACCTGAACTTTTGCCTGTTTTAAGTGGAAAAAACAGCCGCGTTTTTAGTAATTGAAATGTTGTTAAAAAATAATAAAAATAACAAATTTTTAAAAAAGTTGTGTGTTATTGGTTAACACTGTAGTACCTATTTATATTTAGACTATTAATAATTTTAAATAAAATAGTTTTCTCGAAAATGTTGTGCGCCCTGTATCTCCTAAACAAAACGGAATTTTAAAAATCATCAAAGAACAAAATATTCTTAGAATAGTCCAAGGAACTTTTTCCGCATGTTTAAAAAAACACCCTGTATAATATGTTGTGATATATGACTAAACAAATTTCACTTGAGGTTTGTAAAATTGATAAAAAAATAAGATAAAAGTTGATCGCTACGCAAAATAATTTTTTTGCTCCATTCAAAAGGTGTTTTAAATGTTTGTACAAATAGTTGGCCCAGCTTTCCTTTATATGTGGGTCATACTTAATACAGTGCTTCTCAAAAGTCCCCTCCCCCTTCTTTTCTTTCGAACGGTGATACTTAGTAAAAATACTTTCTTTGATGTAACAGGAATGCCACAACTGGTTTGTTAAAAAGACATCATTTTTGGGAACTTCCAGTAATGTTGAATAACGTAACAAAGTAGCGCTATAATATCATCGCAACGTCTACATTGTTTCATCACAAAAGTAAACGTCCCTAGTCTGGGCTTAGACGGTTATGAATCCATCCTATAGATGAAAACAAGAGTAAAAATGAGAGTTACAATGTAACAATGTGATGTAAAGTTCTCATTAATTTAACGTTTTTATGCATAGTGGGAATTGTTCAAAATGTGCTCCATCTACTTCCTGGCAGTAAAACATAACTCTTGTCGGACTCGATTAAATGAGTCAGGGAAAATTGCCCATTTTTAATTTGTATGGGTGAAATTTGTTTTTGGTTAACACCCTGACTCCAAAGGTAGACGCTACTTGGGCTGTGGAATAAGTAGGGTTTACTACAGTTTCTGCAACTATATCAATTTGTTTATCAATACCAATATTTGGTC